TTTTCCTCTCTGTTCTGTAAGTTATCTTTTCAATTCTCTCCTAAAAACTGTTCGATGGTTTTGCCTTTAATTTTATTATTTTTGTCTGATTTAATATAATTTCAGTAATCTTCAATATACTTGATTACTCATTTTCTTTGCCTTTTATCACCAACGTATTGGTTATCCGTTGAAATTCCACATTTTTCTAATTGATAACTCAAACTATCAACATCTCTTTCCGCTTCTAGTAGTTCTCTATATTTTCTCTGTGTTATTTCCTCTATTTTCTCTTTTATTCCAGGTTTTTTTTCTCATTCGTAAAATGGAATATTTTCATCTATACTTAGTTCTTTTAGAACCCCAAATCGAGACAAAACAATAGTTAATTGATCTCTTTCATTTTTAAGTTTCGTTTTTTCTTTTTCCAATTTATTACTGGTATTTTCAATGTGTAACACTTCCAAATAGACCATTCAGATTTAAAGAAGATAATTTATTATGAGAACAATCCAACATTTCTAAATTAGAACACTGACTTATATTTAGACTACTAATTTTATTTTTGCCACAAATTATTGCTTTCAAACTATTAAATCCGGTTAAATTCAAAGAACCTGCCAAATCTTTTTCTGAAATATCCAAAATAGTAATATCTTTTTTTTTTGTAGAGGGCAATGTTCTTTTAAATATTTTGCCAAATATCTCTGGGCTTTCATAATGTTGATTTTATGTGGGTAATGAAGTTACATCTGTTTTTAGTATAAAATTATTTAATAATATGAAACGAACCTACCAGCCCAAGAAAAAAAAAAGATTGAAAAAGCACGGATATCTGATCCGGAGCGAAAAAATTCTGCAGGCTCGGCGTCGGAAAGGCCGCTGACAACTGAGTGTGAAAAAAAACCCTAAAATATATATCCTAGTCAAATATGGGTAGTAAAAAAGAATTTAAAAATAAGGAATTAGAAGTAAAGAGGTTAGATAAAAAAAACTTTCAGAGAATAAAAGAAGAATTTAAACAGTATCAAAAATATTTATTTGGATTAATTGTTGTATATATCATTTGTTATTCTATTTGATTTAATGTAGCCGGAGGGGTTGGCGAGTTTTTATATTCACAAGGATACGGCAAAAATAGTCGAACTTTAGTCATTAGTATTGCTATATTGCAAGGATTATTATTTAGTTTAGATGGTTTTGTAACGGCTTTATTAAAATCGCCTTTTAATCAAATGTGTTATGCTATTAACAAGTCAGAAGGGATACCATATAAAAAGAAAAGGAACATAATAACATTGGCTACTAGATCCAACGAGCACTGTAAGGAAACGCTTAAAAAAATGGGTATGTTGACTATTGTGAATGAGATGATAAGAATTTTTATTATGGGAAAAGGTATTATTGATAAAGATTTAGAACCTTATGGTAGTTGATTGCTTTTGAGTTATCTTATTCCCCTAATTTTCACAGCATTCGATATGATGTCAATTGCCCGAGAATTAAAAAAAATTGAAAAATTACAAGTTGACAGACATGCTAAAAACAAGCCCCTTGCCAAACAGTCTGATTAGAACTCGTTTTGCCCCCAGCCCGACCGGAGAATTACATATCGGTGGAGCCCGAACGGCACTTTTTAATTATCTTTTTGCCAAACAAAACGACGGTCAATTTATTCTTCGCGTTGAGGATACTGACTTACAAAGAAATAAGGAAATATTTGTTAATAATTTATATGAGGATTTACTATGGTTGGGATTAAAGCCTGATGAATCAATTTTTCAAATCGGCGAATATGGTCCTTATCGGCAAACGCAAAGATTAGATGTTTATCGGAAATATAT